CAATAAGACACCCTACCCAATCAGAGTCCGAATAAACTTGTATGCGAGTAGTAGATGACGGTGAGAACCATAACCCTAGTGAGAGAGTTCCCTTAATGTAACGGAGGACACGTTTGACAAGCCCCTAGTGTTCGGTAGTAGGTGAGTGCATGAATTGACATAGTCGATTGACCGAGTACGCAAGATCCGGCCGTGTGATGGTGAGATATTGCAAAGCGCCGACCACGCGCCGATATTGAGTCGGATTCTCAAATGGCTCATCAGATGGTATGACTGATTTCGGAACAGCTGCTGGTGTAGCAAGAGGCTTGCAGTCAACCATTCTAGCTCGTCCTAAGAGATCAGTCATGTAACGCCGTTGCGAAAGAATAATGCAATCACCATCTGCAATGGTTTCTATACCCAAGAAGAAATGCGGAGCCCCCAGATCTCAGATTTTGAAAGCTGTTGCAAGCCGTTGTAGTAGAGAGGTAACCAAAGCAGCGTCATTTCCCATCATGATAATGTCGTCGACAAAGATAAGTAAAAAAACTCGGGAATCCCCAGCCGTGTAGTAAAACAAGGAGACATCTGTTTTGGAGGATTTGAAACCTGCAGACAACAGAAAATCATGAAGCCGCTTGAACCAGGTGCGTGGAGCCTGTTTCAAGCCATATAGCGAACGCTGTAGAAGACACACATGCCCGTGATTGGTCGGATCCTCATATCCCAGGGGTTGCTTCATGTACACAGTCTCTGCCAGGTGTCCGTTCAAAAAAGCATTGTGAATGTCGAGCTGGCGTAGCGTCCACTGTCTGGACACCGCAAGAGAGAATAGCATGCGGACTGTAGTAGGTTTAACTGCCGGACTGAAGGTGTCAAAGAAATCTTCACCGGCAACCTGATTAAACCCTTTAGCAATGAGGCGCGTTTTGTAACGCTCCACCGTGCCATCTGACTTGCGTTTGGTGCGAAACACCCACTTACACCCAATAATGTTCATGTGAGACTCAGGGGTAACAAGACGCCATGTATGATTATGGAGTAGAGCATTGAACTCCTGATCCATTGCCTCACGCCAGTGCGGGTGACCCACGGCTTGAGAGTAGCACGTTGGGTCAGTAGTGGCAGTTAAGGCCTGAAATGGCTCATCCGTGCCCTTAGTCATATGACGAAGGCGCATGACATGGTCCCTACTCTGTGGTGCAGCCCTAGTTCTGCGGGTCTTAGCGGGCGCTATGTGAGTTATAGCCAGTGGAGGTGGCTCCCGTGCTAGTGGTACGGGCTCAGGCTCGGCATGACGCGGTGCGTCATTGGGCGCTACCTCCAGTGGAGCAGCAGGTGAAACTATAGGACCAGCAGCCCAAGGTAAAGCGGGCGGTGATGCCTCAGCAGCTATGTGTCCTGTAGAAAAGGGAAAAACAGTCTCGTCAAATCGGACATGACGACAGACATAGGTTTTCCCACTTGTCAGGTCAATGCATCCGTATCCCCTAAAGGTAGGTGGGTAACCTAGGAAGACACATGGTGTGGACCGGTATTCTATCTTACGCCTGTTGTAGGGGCGTAGATATGGAAAACACCGGCATCCAAAGACTCTAAGGAAAGTGTATGGTGGTGGGATTTTGAAGAGACGAGTGTAAGGGATTTCAAAATTTATAGCTGATGAAGGCAAATAATTAATTAAAGTGGTAGCTGTTTCAAAAGCATAGTCCCAGGAATGTTGGGGAACTTTGCCTTCAGCTAATAAGGCGAGACCTATTTCAACAATGTGCCTGTTTTTACGTTCTACCCGCCCGTTTTGTTCATGGGTATATGCACAAGACTGGCGATGATTTATACCAAGTGTTTGGAAAGTGGTGTGTAACTTGCGGTATTCACCCCCTAGATCGGACTGGATAGACTTGATAGAGCGCGAGAATTGTCGCTCTACCAACACACGAAACAGCTCAAAAATTTTATATATGTCAGATTTTATCCGTAATGGATAAAACCAGCAGAAGCGTGAGAAATCGTCTACAAAAAGTACGAAATAGCGAAAACCATTTGTAGACATTACAGGTGATGGGCCCCATATATCTGTATATACTAAATTTAGTACATTTTCACTAATATTGGAAACCATATCTAATTTAAACCTTGTGGACTTGCCAAGACGACACGCAACACACGACTCCATGGATTCAGTTTTATTTGGAATGACCGGGTACTTTGGAAGAACTTTATTGAAAAGTTGTTTATGCGGGTGACCAAGCTTGCAGTGCCACACTGTGGGGGTGGCCCGGGAACTGACGAACGCTAGATGACACCGGGAGACTGAGAGTTTATACAAACCGCCAGTGGTGGGACCCCTAAGCAGAATTGCCTTGGTTGTGGAATCCTTCACAAAAAAAAAAAAACAATTAGCATGAAATTCAACAAATACATTGTTTTTAGAAGTGAATTTTTGCACGGATAATAACGGAACTGACAAAGATGGCACATGTAATATATTTGATAATAAAGGTTTAGAACTAGACGAAAGAGATGCATGACCGACACGCGAGATTGCCAAACCTGCGCCATTACCAACACGCAAGACATCAGAACCGGTGTACTTGTCCGAGTGACTCATCATGCCTGCATCCGGTGTCGCATGGGCAGTCGCCCCAGTGTCTGGATACCAAGCATCGGATGGTGCTGCGGTGGATGGCATTGACGGAGCATCGCCGGAGATTGCAACATGGGCTTGCGCCGGCGGTTGTGTATTATAACGCTTGAAGCATTACATCGCCGTGTGACCGTGAGACCTGCAAATTTGACATCTAGGTTTTCCACGGCCGCCCCGATTCTGCCCGCCACGATTGCCACGCCCACCACGGCCTTGCGGACTGGAGGACTGCTTGCCGCCGCTGCCACCATGCTGCCCACGACCCGAGCTGGCGTACATGGCCGTGAGACTGCCGGTGGGATCACTCGCCGTCAGATAGTCGTCCACGAGTATAAACTCGTGGGCCTGGAGATGGTCAGAGAGGTGCGCCAGTGTGACTAGAGAACCCGACGCCGTGAGGGAGGCTGCTATGGCTTTCAGTTCCGGCCTCAATCCCCTAAAGACATAGAGATTCTGCTCCATGAGGGATAATGGCCAGCCGGCCTGAGCTAGGGCCTCCACGAGAAGCTGTGCGCGGCCTAGGTACTCGGCGGTGGAGGAATGGCCTTGCCGTAAAACCTGGAACTACCCCAAGAGATTGAGGCACTGAGCTTGGCTGGAGGATCCGAGGGCACTTGTAATGGAGGCCCAGACTGCGGCGGACGTCTCTTTTCCGATCGCGAGATGGAGAACTTCATCCGCCATGGAGGAAACCAAAAGAGACAAGATGGACTGGTCCTGCTTCTCCCAAGCCTTGAAGGCCGGATTGGGAACGAGCGAGGCAGTCGCGTCGGAGGAATCATCGGCAGAAGGCGCAACAATGGTAGCCGGAGGACACAGAAATCTCCCATCAACGTATCCGAGCAACTCCTGGCCGCGGAGGAACGGAATCAATTGCGTACGCCAGAACAAATAGTTTTTGTGCCCACAAAATGATGAGCACCGGAGAGAGCATTCGCGCCTGCCGAAGATGGATTGCCGGTGGCGGAAGCAGTCCGGTCGGAAGAGCTGGACGACATGATCGGAAGAAGTCCGGTCGGAGGGGGAGCAGTTTGGCCGGTGGGGAGGAGGAGAGAGAACCGATACCTGATTGATACCAGATTAGAGAATTGAATGATTTCAGTTACAATAGAATTGAGATTACAAAAGTATATCCGTAACCAATCTCTAACTACTCCTGACAACTAGGCTATACTAAGTCAGCTACAACTAACACCATATAATTACAATCATATATTAATAATAATAATAATAATAATAATAATAATAATAATAATAATAATAATAATAATAATAATAATAATAATAATAATAATAATAATAATAATAATAATAATAATAATAATAATAATAATAATAATAATAATAATAATAATAACATTCCTAGGTTACCCAACGTCCTACAGGGGTTATCGGTGCATGGACCTAATATCTGGAAAGACCTTCATCTGTCGCCATGTTTGGTTTGATGAGAGTGTTTTTCCCTATGCAACAGGTGCACACAACAAGGTGGAATCAATAGACTCACAAACTAACTACCACGCCTTGGGCGTCGGGGCCCTTGGTACCTCATGAGCCACCACTGGTTCCGCTAGATGAGTCTCTCATAGCGGTTCATGTGCCGTCCTTGGCTATTCAGGACCATCAAGGGGCTGCTATGGTCCCAGTTCCCGCACCTCGGGCTCGGGCACGTGTTCGGGCACAGCCCCAAGAGTGGGGACACGTCATGCGTCTCCGCCACATGACACGGGGTAGGAAGAGCCTTTTCAAGCTCTCACGGCCACCGTAGATCCTACGTGATACAGTCAGGCTGTTGGACACCCACACTGGCGGGATGCCATAGATCAGGAGTTCAATGCCCTTCTGCATAACAATACCTAGAGTCTCACCCCGGCCAAGCCTGGCATGCATGTAGTAGGGTGTAAATGGGTCTTTCGCACGAAACGTAAGGCTGATGGCACGGTTGACCGGTACAAAGCCCGCTTGGTTGTCAAGGGGTTCAATCAGGTAGCCGGCGAGGACTTTTTTTGAGACCTTCAGTCCGGTCGTCAAGCCAACTACGGTGCGCATCATACTCTCCCTTGCCGTCTCTCGTGGGTGGACCCTACGGCAGCTAGATATCCACAACGCCTTTTTGAATGAGCGCCTTACGGAGACTGTATATATGCGGCAACCTCCCGGGTATGAAGACCTGGTACACCCAGACTATGTTTGTCACCTACAGCGGTCCTTGTACGGCCTTAAGCAAGCCCCCAGGGCCTGGTTTCATCGACTTCATGAGTTTCTCCTGTCCACGGGTTTTGTGGCGTCCAAAACTGATGTATCTCTCTTCTATTATACGTCACATACCTCACGTATCTACCTCCTGGTATATGTAGATGATATAATCATGATGGGTAATGACTTCGCCCTGTTGACCACGCTGTTAAGCCGTCTCTAGGAAGTTTTCAAGATCTAGGATTTGAGCACTCCGACCTTCTTCCTTGGCATTGCAGAGACAGTGTCTGTTGATGGTGGCTTATTACTTTCGGAACGGCGGTACATGGATGATATTCTGACTCGTGCTGGCATGGTGGACTGCAAGTCTCTCTCCACTCCGGCGGCAATCACTAAAGTCGCATCCTCGGCTACAGATCCTTATGAGAATCATATGCAATACTGTAGGCTAGCTGGGGCGCTGCAGTATCTCACCATCACTCGGCCGGACCTATCTTTTGCTGTAAACAGGCTCTGTCAATTCATGCACGCGCCGATTGATGAGCAGTGGGGCATGCTCAAGCGGGTTCTTCGTTACATCAGGGGTATGTTAACCTACGGTTTACGGTTGTCGGCATCACCATCGTCCAATGTCCACGCCTACTCGGATTCCGACTAGGCAAGGTGTCCCATTGATAGGAAGTCCACTAGTGGGTATGCTGTTTTCCTGGGTTCGAATCTTGTGTCGTGGGTGTCACGCAAACAGCGCACCGTTGCCAGGTCGTCCACTGAGGCAGAGTATAAGGGTCTGGCGGATGTCGCTGACGAGGTCACATGGGTTATGTCGCTGCTCCGGGAACTCGGACTACACTCCGGTACACCTGCCACACTATGGTGTGACAATTTAGGGGCCACATACATGTGTGCCAATCCCGTTTTTCACGCTCGAACCAAACATGTCGAGATTGATTACTACTTTAGTCGGGATAAGGTTGCAACCGGGGAGTTCTTGGTCAATTTTGTGTCAACGAAAGATCAGCTGGCCGACATCTTCACCAAACCACTTGCTTCTACACGCTTCGCTTCTTTGAGGGACAAGCTAAATGTTGTCTCTTCACCACCTTCAGCTTGAGGGGATGTGTTAGTAGTATTATATTATTGGTATAATTATTGTGACACTAGACTTAGACTTATAGTGTTTGAATTAGTCTTGTAACCTATTAGTTATTGTATAGGGTTAGTTAGGTTAGCACTCTATCTCTTATCTATCTCTGTAACACTCTATTCTGAATTAACGAGAATTGTTCACTCATCCTGGGAAACATTGCGATGAAGTCGGACTGGAGTGCGTTCTTTGCTACAACAACATATCTCGAGAGATTTGTTTCAATTGGGCAAAGGGCATGCAACGATTCAATTCGGTTGTTGTTACAATTATACAGTGGTAAAATTACTTTTTTTTTTCTATTTCTAAGTTATTTCTTGTGGAGAAATTCTGTGCATTTTTTTACATTAAAGATTTACATTACCTTTTCATATTGTATTTTTATTTGTAATTATGAAATTAGTTACTATATATAAAAATAGTCTATTAAAGGGCAGGATATTTATTTATATAATAATTATTTCCATATGAACGTATATAACTGTCAATTCCAGAATTACATATAGGTATAATAGGATAATATTATATTTATATATTATTATATACACATATATTATTCCAAAAAAATATACATATATATCGTACATAATATATAGTTATTAGGATCAGATTTAAGAATGATATATATAATTGGGTAGAATAATTTAATTATATATATTAATTTAAAAATAACATATTAAAAGGTTTGGAATGATATAATAAATTATTTTAAAATTATTTGATAGATTGGAATGTCACAAAAGTATCCCTGTAATTAGGAATTTTTATTTGTAATTATGAAATTAATTACCATATATAAAAATATAAAAATAGTATATTAAAATGCAGGATATTTATTTATATAATAATTATTTCTATATGAACGTATGTAACTGTCAATTCCATAATTACATATAGGTATAATAGGATAATACTATATTTATATATTATTATACAAATATATATATAGTACATCATATATGGTTATTAGGATCGTATTTAGGAATGATATATATAATTGGGTAGAATAATTTAATTATATATATTAATTTAAAAACAACCTATTAAAAGGTTTGAAATGATATAATAAATTATTTTAAAATTGTTGGGCAGGTTGAAATGTCGCAAAAGTCTCCCTGCATTTAGGAATCTGTATTTGTAATTATGAAATTAATTACCATATATAAAAATAGTCTATTAAAAGGAAGGATATTTATTTATATAATAATTATTTCCATATGAACGTATGTAACTGTCAATTCCATAATTACATATAGGTATAATAGGATAATACTATATTTATATATTGTACATCACATAGAGTTATTAGGATTGTATTTAGGAATGAGATATATAATTCTGTAGAATAATTTAATTATATATATTAATTTAAAAGTAACCTATTAAAAGGTTTGAAATGATGTAATAAATTATTTTAAAATTATTTGGCATATTGAAATGTCGCAAAAGTCTCACTGCAATTAAGAATTTTTATTTGTAATTAAGAAATTAATTACCATATATAAAAATAATCTATTAAAAGGCAGGATATTTATTTATATAATAATTATTTCAATATGACGTATGTAACTGTCAATTCCATTATTTACAATATACATAATATACTTTGACAATGTAAAAAAAAAAAAAGAAAAAAAAAACATTAACTACTACAAATTTACAGGCCGTGCATCGCACTGGTATCATACTAGTTCAAATAACACCATAAAATAGTTCATTAGTATGCAGGAGTGCTATCAAACTACTAAAATTGATCAAAAAAATAAAATTGATAAATAAGTAAAAACAGGACTATAAAAGAAATATTGATATTCAACATACAACAGGCCACTACAGTGGGACGTCCCAAGTTAGAAAGTCACAGTAATGGGAATTGGGAAACTAATTTTGGAACCATGAAGCAGCAAACTACTCATGCCGTTACGTTCCAATATATGTAATAATAAACATTGTATTCATAATTGATATTACATCATTCAATATATGTATGTGATGGATAGCATACTACAATTGTTATATCGTGCATCATGGCGCACAATGCATTGTGTGTCCAAAAATGTCCTATTTCGTATGCACATAATTGTATAACAGAATATACATAAACTCCTAACATAATACACATAATCTAACATAATACATAATACACATAAATTCTTAACATAATACACATAAACTCTTACATAATATAGATAAACTCTTAACATAATACACATAAATTCATACATAATATAGATAAACTCTTAACATAATACACATAACTCTTAGGGCGCACAATGGATTGTGCACCTTGGTGCACGATATAATTTGCCAGCATACTAGGCCTGGGTCAAACGGGCCAGCCCAAAGAGAGCAACTGGATCGACGGAGCCCAAGAAGGATACACAATGCGGAACAATTCAAGAGTTTATTAAGTATTAGGTCTATTATTCTCAATATAACCAGGATTGGACTCATTATTTCTAATAGAAAAGAATTAGGTCTTATTATTCTCAATGTAACAGAGACTTCCCATATGAGACAGTCTAGGATTCTTATTTCTTGTATGACTTTAGGCCCAAAATATGTATAAAACTATAAATAGACCTTTCACATGGAAGAGGGGGGACAACTCTTAGTATTCACAAAACAGTATTTATTAATACAAAGTTTCTATATTCTCGTTATTCTAACAATAGTGCTGGCCTGCCGTTGACTGCTCAAATCATAAAACCAATGGTATGTATTATATTTACTAGTTTTTTTCGCGCATTGCGCGATTGAGATAATGCCCAATATTTTTTAAATAAGTATTTTAAAGTATATCAATGCAAGATTATATTGGAATTGTTCATGCATAGATAATTGAATGTTAAATTTGTGTATTTAAATAGGCAATTTTAAGTTTACAAATGCAAGATAATATAGTCAAGATTGATTATAGTTGTCAATAAAATAATTGTATAGGTATGGTTGAAACCAAATACAGGACATAAGGGAGAGAAAATAAAAATTAGGGCATAAATTATTAAAGGAATAAGGGTCAAATAGGCCATCGAACTGTACACGATACAACAATTAGGCCACTGAACCTAAAACCCAACAATTAGGTCCCTAAACTAATCAATTTCAAACAATTCTTTCAATTTGAAGGTTTCCAACAGGTCAACAGGTCATCTCCCAAATTAATTATTTTTTTAAAAAATAAATTTTAAAAATTAATTATTTTTAAATTAAATTAAAAAAAAAAAAAAACTGGAATCCAGCCGGAGACGAAGAAACTCTTCGTCTCCGGCAGTGGAGACGAAGAGTTTGCCATGGAGACGAAGAAGGTTTCGTTCTCCATGGCCGGAGACGAAGAAACTCTTCGTCTCCGGACGGAAACCGGCCGGAGACAACCGTCTCTGGCCGGAACCAGTTTTTTTTTTTTTTTTTAATAATTAATTTTTAAAATTTAAATTTTAAAAAATAATTAATTTGGAAGTATGACCTGTTGACCTGTTGGAAACCTTCAAGTTGGAAGAATTGTTTGAAATTGATTAGTTTAGGGATCTAATTGTTGATTTTTTAAGTTCAGTGGCCTAATTGTTTTATCGGAGAAAATTTCAATTCTGGTCCATTGGCTATTAGTGGTCTGTTAATTGCAGCACTTGACTATTAAAACTGTTAATGTAGTACCTTGACTATGCGATTTCTATCAATTTTGGTCACTCCGGCCAAATCAATGGCGAATTTCCACCGGAAAAATTTTAGTCAAACATTTCTCCGATTTAGTAGGGGCAAATAAGACATTTCAGGTGCGAATATGGTTTGTATGTCCGGGTTGTTGACCCTGTAGAGACCCGACCCGTTTCTAATGTAATATACCCGTTCATTTTCGACTTTTCCCTAACATTGTTCTGCGTTTGGTCTCTGCCTTCACAGACGATTGAAGTCTGCGTTTCAAAGAAGAGGAAGCACTAAAGTAGTGTGAGTTATTATTCTTCTTCTTCTACTGGTAATCAGTACAACGAATTTGGGGAAAGGTTCCCAATTCTCCATTGTAGATGTGGTCACCAACTCAAGATTCGAACTTCATGGACTAATGACAATCCAGGTCGAAGATTTTGGCATTGCTCTGGTGGTGGTGTAAGGAAATTATTGTTTTTGTTTTTTTTTTTTTTTTCAGTGTTCCTGTATACACAATTTGATTTTGTTTTCTGTTGGTTTGTGAATTTTGTATAATCAGAGTCACAGGCATTCTGGATGTGGATTTGTGGAGTGATATGACCCTCCGATGTGCTACCGTTCCAAGCGAATTATTCCGGGATTGCTTAAACGCATAAATAGACTGGAGGAAGATGTAAGAACTCTAGACATGAAGAAGATTGAAGGTGACAAGAAAGAGGCTGGAAATGGGTTGAATAAGATTGTAGGAATAATGCTTGTAATTTTTGTATGTTATATTGCTACCAAGTACTGTGGCAGTAATTGCCTTTGATTTGTAGAAGTGTGCAGTGGCTTTTGAGTTGTAATGGTATGAATTGGTATTTTTGTAC